ACATGAGTGATAATATATTAGCTATTTAAAAAAAAGACAAGAAGACATTAAATTTAAAAAGCTGTATAGTTTAAAAAAGATAATATAATATTATCAATGATATTTTTTGCTGACAAGAGAGGATATTTTTGGTGTTGAATAGGGGTAAGGGTAATAAGTGGTTACGTTATTTTTCACTTTAAACATGTTATTTCTTTATTTGTTTCCTATATTTGTGAATGCACATATTTTTAAATTACATTTTCCATTTTTCTTCAGTAAACTTTTGGTACGGGTGTGTGGTATGCCTATGAATGAGCAAAATTCTATGTTTGAGTTAGGATTGTTTATTTTTTAGTACACCACTTTGTGTAAAATTAACAACTTCTTGCTTTTTGGCGATGTAGAAAATAAGATACAGGCAGCATCATATTCATAAAGTATTAAATTCATTATCACCCTTTAAAAATTTGTAAGAGGTGGCTCTAAATTCAAAATGATGTTAGGTAAACATTGTTGCATTACGCCATTACTAGAGATTGTAATATCATTTTAACATAAGGTCTAAGCGAAACTACATTTTTTATTTTGTACCTTAGTATAACATAGCAAGCTTTTGAGTATGGAAACTGGGGGCTGATTCATCATGATTTATTTTAGATTCTGAGCGAAGCGATGAATGTATTGATTTTACAATGATGTGTGTTTTTATATTTAGTTTTTTTTTTCTATTCATCACGTTTTCTCACAGTAAAAGTGCTTTGATTTTCTTAAATAGCAGCGTTCGTGGTAGGAAAGTGAATTTAGTTGGTGCATTCGGGAGATCAACATTTAAAATTCCCAATAGTTTTCAAAAGCAATGGGGAAAACAAACAAAAAAATAAGGAAAAAGCTGAATTTTTACATAAAACCATTTTTCGAAAAAAATTGATTTTGGTTTTTAGTGTAACTCTAACAAAAATGACCATAGATACATGAAATTTTCACTGAACATTAGTGTTGCTCCAAATATTTTGATTGGTGTTGAACTATTTATAGGCAAATGAAAATGTCAATTATTATTTGTTTTTTTTAAACCCAAGTCGATAAAAAAATGTTTGCTTGGTCTAAAAACTTGAAATGTAATACAATGTTCCTTGTAATCTGTTGTTAATGGAAATTAAAAAAAAAAGTTGAGCATAAATCCACAATAATATTTATGAGTGTTTAAACTTAGAATTTTGAAAACATTTTTAAAAATCATGAAAATTAGCAATTATATTTAGTTAGAAATTCATAAAATTGTTTCTATTTATGTCTAAGATTTAAAAATTTAATACAAGATTCCTTACAAAAGCTAGTCATAAAAAAAAATTTCTACCACAAAGTCAAATCAAATTGTTTTGAGTGTTTGAAGTTGAAATTTTTACAACATTGGATATTCACTCGATATCTCTTGTAGTGATTTTCTTATTTTGTTGTAATTCAAAAATGAATTACTGTAGACACTAGAAATTTACACCAAATATTCAATTCATATACTTGGTACAATTTTCAAAGTATTCTGACTCGTTTTAGGCTGTTGATGGACATTTCCATTTTTCTCTTTTTTTTCTATAAATGTCAATAAAATTTTATTGGTTGGGTCAAAAGCATACAAATTTAATGGAAGACTCTTGATAACTTGTTACAATAGCAGTTGAAAAATATTAAAAATACATAGGTAAATTTTTTATAAGCATTTAAAGTTCAAATTTTGACAATATTTATCAAGTTGAAAATTATATTGTAGTTAAAAATGTATAAAATATTCAATTTTTATAACTAAGGATTGAAAATTTAAAACAAGGTTCCACTTAAGCGATTTTTCTCATAAATAAGAAATCTAAAAAATATATGAATACAGTTATTTTTACGGACATTTTAAGTTCAAATTTGGACAAAATTGCATATTCACTCAAGGAATAATGGTTATCATTTTGTTGTCATTCGGTTTCAAAACAGCCCAATTTTACATAGGTATATTTAATATTTTTCTAGCATCACTGATAATTTAAGAATAATATGAATTCAACTTACCGGCTACCATATTAATATTAAGTAATAACAATATTAAAATATCCTAAACTGACATACTGTCTCCGCTCAGAATTGTTTTTCATATATAATGATTTAATATCGTTGAATTCAAATTTAATACTATCCATTACAGCGACCTCTTAGACAACTAATGTACAGCACAACGACATCCACTTACCGCTTTTTACAATTTAAGTCATTCAATATTATAACTTAATACTGTATTATAATTTATTTATGTCAGTAAAAGAAATATTGTACTTAGTATGCATAAATGTGGATGATTTTGTAAAACTTCTAAGACCCAAGTAGGTTGCTAATTTTTAAAAGTCATGAATACATATCAGTAATATGATTTTGGTTTGAATATATACTACACGGATGTATTATTGCTTTAGATTTTCCATCAACAAGAGGATTAAAATTGTCATTTGAATGTAAACAAATCTAATAGAAACTAGAGTTGTTTAGGGCCTTATAAAAGAAATGCAGAAAGATAAGTTAGAAAAGAAAGAAGACAAGCATAAAATCAAAGAAAATTTTGAGTTGTTTATCCAAGTGGTAATACATTTTTTTAATTGTTAATTTAAATACATGTATTAAGTTTTTTTTTTTTGTTATTTATTAATACAGTTTACATTTACCGAGAATTAATTTTTTTATTACTAAAAATTAACAGAATAAAAACTGTTTAAAATATTTTGAATTATTAGTAATAATTATTAGCTTATTTAAGAATTATACTATGAAATATGTAAGGCATATTAATTTTGAAATTTCTTTGATAGAACAATATACTTTTTTTTTCTGTTTGATGGCATCAACAGAGTTATTGGCCTAACTTAACAATTATTTATATTTTAATATGAGTCATGTTATATTAGCTGACTGTTTCTTAAAGTCTTAAACTAGGTAAAGATAACCTTTCAAAATTTTCAGATTAAGAATCTTGTCAAAATTAAGAAAATTGAGAAAAATACAGCTTGGCAAATAGATAAAAGTAGTAATATTAAATAATTGTTCTGTTTTATTAAAATTGTATGTTTGTAACACAATTTAAGTTAATAGTATAAGCCTATTTTAAATAGTGGTTTATAACTTATATTCAATCTATTAGAAGTGAGCTAATATAAACTTTGTAATTAACTATGTGACATTGATAAGAGTATTCTAGATTTCTAACATTTTATATATTTTCATAACCAGAAATGCATCAAATAAAATATCAAAACAATAAATTTGATTTAGTTAAATTTTAAAGATTTAAAACTCATTTATTTAAAAATTATTACTAACATAAATAAAAAGTTTTACAAGTCAATATAAATTTACTAGGTGTTTTACTGTATTAGGATTAATATTAAACTATTATAGAGATTTCAATATAATTATTACTCATGTTCTCCCCCTACAAACAGCTAATGGCCTAAGTTATTGGGCTGAAGATCAATAATAAAAAAAAACTTTTGTCACTAGCTTAATTATTTTCTATTGAAAATTGTGTATTGTTTGTTTATTGACTTTTTGTTACCCAAATTATTTGTTTTACACTAATTGATTTTATGTCAGATTGTCAAAAATTAGCTATGCGATTAATTTATTAATACAAAATTCTCCAACATTTCATAGTCTCTTAATATCTAATAAGTAATAGAGAATATTTTACAAAAAGCAAATATCTCAAATCAATCATTAAAACCTGTATTATAATCATTAATAAGAAATAACTGTGATTGTCTAAAGAGGTATTATTTTTCAACCAACAGATATTTGTTAAAATTTACTATCAAAAATAAAAGGACAAGTATAATAAAAAATTGAAAAAAAAATATCTTAGTTGCGAATTTATTGTCATGATTTTCTTATTAACCAATAATACAACTAATATGAAAGACAAAATTGTCTTGAACATATTTTAGTAAAATTTGTTTAAGTCTTAAATATAAACTATATAACGTATTTTTATATTTATATATTATATATTATTATAACAAAAGTAATTTAAAATAAATGTTATGCTATACTAATTATATTATGGTAAACATATAAAGCTTAGGACAGAGTAATGAAGATATTATATTATAATACAATGCATTGAACACTAGAATAATGAAAATAATGATAGACAGTTCAATATAATATGAAATATTATGTTAGTTTGATTACAAGTTATACATATTTTATTTAATATACATTAATTTATCATGCATTTGAATATAGTAATCTCCCTATATTAGTTCGTTGAATGTAATATCTCGAAATAATCATTACTTCAATTAAAATTACATTATCCTTTAAATATTTGATACTTATGTGTTTAATTTGTTCTCTTCGTCTTTATTTTTAGGATATTTTGAGTTTCTATTGTATTCATAATTTAAATTGTATCATATATATATATATATAATTTTTTTTATTATATATCAATTATTCTCAAATAAAGTAATAAATAATGCAGTAATAATATTAATTAAAACGTATAACAATTAAGCAATAGATTTTTGGTCTCATAGGAATGTAGTGCCTTATGATTTCTTTTACCTAGTCTAAAAACAATTCAAGATTTTAATTAACAATAACTATTAAAACTAAAAATCACATACATATGTGGTTAAAAAAATTGAGATTATATTGTTTAAGGTAAAATGTTTGGTTATGACTTATAAAATTTTAATAATTTAATTAAAATTAAACAGGCAAGAAAACAAAGAACACAATTTTAAGCACTGATAATGTATACATGCACTCAATTGTTGATACATTTTCATGAGTCTTACATTTAAAATACACTTTAAAAATATAATAGTAGATGATAATTAATACCATTTAAAATACATTTTGATACCAGTAAAACTTAAAGGTTAAAAAAATTGTCAGATATAAGGTATAATATTATGCAATTGTCGTTTCAAATAAAAAATTTGAAAAAAAATGGTTTTTTAGACTATTTTAAACAAATACTTAAAAAAAAAATAATTTCCTACTCCATATGATTAAAAAAAATTAAAACTATAATTGATATAGGAAGACAATAAATTATTAAGATCAATAATTAAAATACTGGAGGATACTTAAATCATTGTTAAACCCAAAACTAAATTAACTGCTGATGGGTTCAATAATATTCCATAAACTAGCATACGATCCAAAACCAAATCCAAGGAAACCAATTATAATAATAATAATATCTTTAACAAACATCAGTGTAAACTCTTTACCAGAGCAATGATCCCAAAATGTCATGAGTTCAATAATAGGTGGAAAGATCAAAGCTAGTGCTGAGCTGCTGAATGATCCCACTAATGAGATGATTGCTGATAGGTTTGGAATGGCAGCTGCTAAAGCGACTATAAAATATATAAAATGAGCTTTTAGAATTTAGTAAGTTGTACAGTTTTACCATAACTATGTCCTGCATATAAATAATATACAATTATAAATTATCTTTGGTCCTGCGAGGGAACAAACCATTTTTATAGGGCTCTGGCATGTTCTTTCGTCGGAAAGAATGTAGATTAAGAACATAAATAAAGTATAAGTATATTATATATAATATTTAATACTTACATGTTAGTGTGACAAGAAACACTCTGATACTCAATTCAGCATTACGTTGACTAGACTGCGAATGAAAATATCCTTTTAAAGCAGGCCATACAATACCAATTGGAACATAGAATTGAAGACCATAAGACAAAAATATTGAGAATGCCATTGCTGCTCGGACACTTTGGGCTAACCTATAACATTGTTGTAAATAAATATTAAAACAATTATTTTTTAATTTTTTTAAATGCCAATAGGAGTTTAATAATAATAATAAAAGATTTTAACTTATACTTTTTTTTCAAATAAGTTTGGAAAAATCACACAGCCTCGGAAAGGCAGGTTCGCTGTGATTGGCCAGTAGTTGCCAGCGCACTGACGGAGCTAACGGGACGGCACATGCGTGAATGTGTTTTTGTCGTAATTTTTTTCCAAACTTATTTGGAATAGAGTATAGTATTTGTTTAAGAGATTTCAGAATAAAAAAAAATATTTTAAAACCAAACTAAATAGTATAGTAACAAAAAGTAAGTAAAAATATTACTAAAAATTATAACTTAAATAAAAAATATGAAATATACCTTGCATACACCGAATAAACATGCTAAAACAAAGTAATACAATGCTATTTTTTTTTATATTATACATTTATATTTCAAAATTACAAATTCTTAATCTGCCTCACTAAAGTTTTCTTATCCTAATAAACTATAAAAAACATTAATCATGTATTACACATTTTATGCTAATTAAAATATTTATTACAACATGTTAAATGGTTCTTATCAAGATTGTCGAACAATATTTTTTAATTGGTATAATGAAGTATGTTAGATATTTATGCATTGTACATTTTCAGTTATCTGAACTATAATTAAATTAGTATAAGTACTTGCATAATTAACTGTCAATTTGAAGGTACAATTATTAAAATTAGTAAAACTAATAAGAAAACTTGTAATTTCTAATTGGACAATAATACAAAAAAATATAACTTAAACCTTACTGTTTTTAATATTTAATATTTTTAATCTGTACATTTTTAGAGTTGACTGTTTTTACATCAGTTTATCATTGGTTAGCCTAAAGGTTAAAATGTTAAAAATAGACAATTCTATGTGATGTTTAAAACTTAAAAATTTATCTATTATTGCCCATATGTACTGATTGTATATTTAAACTGTACACACAGTTCAACAAATTTAAACATTTATTAATATTATAAGTTTTTAACATTCAGGTTAGCAAAAAAAATGTTCAATTGTGACTTTTAAGGATTAATTTTGAAACAGAATTAAACATACACTATATTTAATGTGAATTTACAAATGAATTAGATAGAAATAAGAATAAGAATCATTCTATTTTAATCACATAATATTAAATTAATTATTTAAGTAATAAATGAAAAGAACTATAATAATAAATGTAACTTAGATAGATATAGATTGAAAACTATAAAACACTTTTATTCTACATTAACTGAAGTTTAAATGAATATGTTTTACTTACAAATCTTCAGAGGGGAGATTCAGTGTAATACTTCCTAATTTAACAGCTTCTCCATATCGTAAGTATCCAAAAAATCCAATTGACGTATACAGACATGTTACAATGACCATTCCAGTATTTAAAACCCCAGTCATTCCACCAAAAGATTCTGGGTTTTTCATGTTATTTTCTAATGGCAAGACCTATTCATAAACACATAGTTACAATGAACTGTCGAATGAATCTTATTTGTAGATTTAAAATTATAATATACCATTCCAATGCCTTCAAATGCGTATACTGCAGTTCCAAAATAAAGGGGCAACTGTTGCCAAGATGAAAAAGCTTTGACATTTAATGTTTTTGGAAGTCCTTGAAGTAAGTAGAAAAATGTTATTCCTAATCCAATCACAGTTAATATGGTTGCTACAAAAGAAGCTGGAGTCAGGTACTTTAAACTCTTCACACAATTTAAAAGTATCATTGGCACCAGTAGTATAAGCAAATATGATTGAACAGACAATTTTACAGAAAAGTAATGAGTTATCACCTAAAAATATTTAATAGTTATAATTAATCAGTTCTTAGAAATATTTTTTAATCATTTACCTCTTGCAAATTCGTGGCAACAAACAAGAAATATACACAACAAAAGCCCAGTTGAGTCATAACTAGGAAAGTATTAATAAATTTACTCGCAGCTGATGAATATTTTTGTAATTTGGGTGGTCCATATTCAAAAGCCATTTCTGCAACATTAGGAAATGAAAGAGATGGTCTTTGTGTTCTGACACACAATTCATGAGAGCACCGAACCTAAACAAAGGACGGTCAACTTGTTATTGTAAATTTAATATAATTCACTATTGAAATTAGTTTTATATATTCATACCAATATATGCATACAATGTGTGCAAACAGCTCCCAAAAGTGCTGTACATACTAAACCTACAACCCAGCCAGAATTTCTGAAAGCATCAGGCATAGCTAAGATTCCAGTACCAATATTTCCCTTTAATAAATGCACCATAGTGTCAAAATTCCTTAACAAAAAAAAACAAGAAAATTAATATTTAAAATAAACTAACAAAACACATTCATATAATGCACTAAAATATAACTTTTAGTACATAATTTAATATACAATGATTTTTAATTTGGAAACTAAATTACAATATAAAATCAATATAATTTGCATATCACATTTAGTGATCTCAACTTAAAATTAAGATAAATTATTCTTGATAAATAATAATTGGCACACACATTAACATAAACTTAATTAACCCATTGCATATAAACAATAAATAGTTGAGGTATATGTTAACTGATAACTATTAGGTACTTATTGGAATTTTTCCACCTATTCAAATAATTCAACTTTGTACACATTATGATAAGTAATTTATACCTTTATATCAAACCTTCATAAAATTATTATAAAATGATTAAATAGCACGTGAATCATAAGTCCTAGTTCACGTGATTAAAAATTGTGTATTCTTTTCTATTTTATTGCTTACATTTGACAAATAACTTAATACAAACATTTTAGATCATAACATCTAGTCATTCAATTATTGCTCATTTTAAAAGCATTATTTGTTTGTCATTAATAATAAACATATTATTAAGGACATTGAAACTAGATACAATAATTAACAATAAACAATTAAATGTCAATAAAAACTTACGATGTTGGATTTTCTAATTGTCGATTTAGCAATGGATTATAATCTGATGCAGATCCACCATTAGCACCATTTTTTTCCAATGATTCATTCATTGGACCACTAGAAATGTTTGTATCAGGTAATGTTCTTGGAGATGGAGAAAGAAAATTACTTCTAGAATATCGATAAAGGTAAACATTTTAAACATTTATAATAGGTAATTTTAATTTTAAGAAAGTGTATGTATATTAATAAGAAAAAAATAATTATTTTAACTATTACATTATTTTTACATTAATGCATAATAAGTTAAATTAGTATATTATGGATAATTAAAAATTTTAAATGTTTAAATGCACAATAAGGTTTATTTGTGCAAAAATACATCATAAAAAAATGTTTTTCCTTTAAAATATATATAAAAAAAAACATTTAAAAAGATAGATGTAGGTACTACTATGCACAATAAATTTAATAATGATATCTTTATTATATTCAGTTCAAAATGTGTAATAACTTACCCATTTTGGTTGTAGAGTGTAGCTGTACCAGTTAATAGTGGTTTGTCTTCATTTACTCTAGAAGTTTTTAAAGTCATTTTATCACAATTTACCTAAAATATAATAAGCGTGAAATCAATATAATGTAAATCATCATTATAAAATTTTTTTAAATAACATAAATAGTTTAAAAAACAAAGTATTTATATAAATTAACAATAAGTTATTTTTTGCACGGATTCTTAGCATTAAATAGAGGACACATTTAATTAAGTGAGTTATCACTTGTTTATAAATTACAATAGTGTATTAACTTTGGGACATTAATCCTAATTCATAAATATAAAATATAATAAGATTAAGTCTTAAATCATTTTAAAAAAATTTAATGAACTCACTTTCTATATTTATTGTTAAAAAAACCTTTAAGACATTACAATCATAAATTATTGATTGTAGCATTTAATTAATCTGAACAAGTGTTCATAGTTTGACTGTTGTAATTCAAATAATAATTATATTTTGTAACTGGATGAAATATATACATAAATATTTGTATACTCCTACTCCTATTTGATATCATAATCACATATTATGTGACGTAAGTGAACAATGTAGAAAAAACTAGTAATGAATACACAGTATTTAAGTTAGTAATGATTTATATAAATATGTATCTAATATATATTTTTTTAAATTAAGTGATATACATTTTTTTTATTTTGTCTAAAAGAATCTATAATTGATTTTAACAAAACTTAAAAGTATTAAAATTTTTTACTCACCTACAAAAAAGGTGAATAAAATAAAACTGATAGAAGATGTCTAGTTAATTGAGGGTCTGTAAATTTTAGTCAATACAAGTATAACTTTAATGATATAGATAAATTTTAATAGTAAATAAGGTGGTTTTGGGAATATGACACCTAAATTTAGGTATATTGAGTAATATTTTTTTTTATTGGTTTTTATTATGTTACTAAAATAGCATAATTTTAAATGAAAAACGTAATGGTATAATATTGATATTGGGTTTTTGTAATTGTGGGGGCATTTTATACTTTATGGTAATTTATTGCATTTTATTAATTTCTAAGGGTATATGAATATTGCATTTTAATTAATCTTCATAAATTATTGCTGAGTGGTCAAGTGTCATCATTATCCCTATAAATCAAAATAACAAAATACTTTTTCAGAATTTTGATTGTCGCATATTTTTACATCAACTATTTTTAATTTAAAGTAATGAAAAAATTAAATAACTCCTAACTTATTATACTTAACTTAAAATACTATTAAAAATAATTTAACATATTTTAATTTAGGATGAGATTACTGGTGAAATAACCGGAGTACTTAAAATACAATAATACTAAAGTAATAAATATATGAAAAAAAGATGTTAGATGTTAAAATTAATAAATTATATAAAATTCTTGTAAAATATATCTCTTTATTGAAAACTCTTTTTGTAAATCTTTCAAGAATGTTAAAATAATGTATACTAAAGAAATAAAAATAAAGCTATTTTATTTATTTTTAACAGTTTTGTGATAAGCTAAGATTACAATGTAATAATTATGAAATAGAGACAAAAGCTATAATTTTGGATTCTAATATTTAAAATTTCAATTTCAAGAATAATTAAAACTATCAACATTTCTAAACAAAAATACAACTATTAATTCTTAATTAATGCCAACATGATTATTTCTCAACTTCTTATTCTTGTGACCTTAATATAATTGATAAACATACAGATATGATGTGTATTTAATTTGTGATATACATATGTAGATCCAAGATTATAAATACATATAAACATAATTAAAAAGAAAAAAAAACATTGGTTTCTTTAATTAGTTACATTGATTAAGACGTAAAGGATTAAAATAGGAGCAACTAGGCATCTAAAACTCGGGGCGTTATAATAGTAAATGTCTAACAGTGTGTGAAGAGCTTTGCCCCTCACACCCGTACTACTAAAATAACAATTTTACAAGTTAAAAATCTACAATAATTGATATTTGAACATCTTTTTAATTATATATTAAGATTTGACTGATAAAACATTTATAAAAAACTCATGCAGGTTTACTGGTGATACACAATTCACCACAGCTTTTATCTATATTATGGTGCTTTTGAGATGTGACCAATTTGCTAAAAATAGCTCGTAACTCATAAACCACTAATTTTTCCGTTAAGTGTATCTTAATGCTATCAATTATAGGAATATCTAATAATTTATAACAAAGAAATATTATGACTTAAGTCATAATTATAGCCATAAGTTTTAATTTTTTTTTTCGGTAAATATTTCATAGTTTAAAAACATACATTTGATGGTATTGTAACACAATAATAATATATACCTAAAAATAAAGAGGTGCTAAAGACCATTTTGTACCCCCATAGATGTACCAATAGAGATGAAATAAAATAAAATATAGTATATTATAACTATTACAGCTGTACAACAGTTATAAAAAATAAAATTATAGACAGTCCATCATATTGTATTAATCAACCTTTAAGCATTCTATTTTATTTATTTTCTGTTTAAACATCTAATGTTGTCAAAACTTGATTTTCAAAAGTTGAATAAAATGTTTTTTATTTAGGTAAGTCTATGGATATTTATTTCTAAATTACAAGTAAAAACATGATGCATCATCTCAAAAACTAGTGTTGTGAATGTATTCCAGATTTCAATTGTGCTTTGTTAGTTTTCTCAATTAAAAAAACAATAATAATGGTTCCTACTAACTAAATCAAATTAAAACATTTGAAACAATTAAAAAATTATATTACAATTATTTTATTTGAACACAAATATTCTTAGTTTTATTTGTGGTGTTGTGATTTATTCAATTTAATTAATTAACAAACTAACAGAAAGTGTCTACAATAGGTGGCTTCTTTCAACAAAATTCACATGACCAGGAAATTGTAACTTTTATCACATACTCTTATTGTGTCTAGCTAATGATACACTGATACAGTATCTTTATTATACATAAAAATAAAAAACAAAAAATAAAGTTTTATTTGTAAGCGATAGTAGAATAACATTTTAATAAAAATTATTTTATCGATGGTTATCAATTATAAAGTAATAATTTATTTTAGAAGACTGTGCACAAAATATTATTTATTTCTTCAAATGTATTTACATTGTATTTGTTAGTAAAAGGAATTGTTGAAATTGGTTTTATAATATTCTTTATACAGTATACATATTACATAAAGAAAGGTAATATCCTAACCTTTACCCCACTCTATTATAATAAGCTTCTTATCTCTGTTTTAATTAGCATATGGTTTGTTGAATTTATGAATTTGTGTATCTACTACTAGTACTACTTATTGGTTAAAATGTAATCATTATGAAATATAAACCTTAAAAAAAATTGCCATACTGTTATAATTACGTAATTTAACCTTTTAATGAGTTTTCTACTAGAAAAATGTTTAATATAAATTTAAAAAAAAACATGAACAGTGAATACACAATACTTAAATCATTTGAAATCATTTATTGGCATCATAACTCACTATTGTCAATTGTACTGTATAATGAATATTATAATGTACTATATTTACATTAATAACTTATGTTTAAGTAGTATACATTTTTAAGAATTAGTATTTTTTTTTGGGTGTTTGATGATAAAAATTATAGTTTATTTAGGTAATAGTAGGTCCTATTAATTAATTTTCATAACTATCAATAATAATTAGTTAATCAATAATTAGGAATAATTACTCACATTACTCGCTTGCGCTGGCTTTGCTGCTTGGACTTTGATATGATTATCATTAATGCTGAAGTCCCCATTGATCTCAGTCTTAGATATAATAATACAAATGTGAATTAGCAATTAGTTACCAATAACATATGTATATTAGCATCAATGTAATATGATGCCATTATAAATGCATACCATATTGAAACATTACTCACATTCATATTGAAAGTCACAAATTGTTTGAATAAATTTCGGAAGTATTCAATTCTTTATTAATGATGTTTTTCTATTATATCAACCAATTTCAACATTTTCGAAGTTTTCGACCTTATTTCCGTCATTAACGAACCAATAAATCACACGATGAAAAGGATTCTGAGTACTGACGGAACAAAAAAAATATTACTCAATTTACTTAACAACAGCAAACACAATAGAGATCAATTTTTGTCTCATTCCTGCATTATCAAAATGGCAAATATGAAATAGTAATAATATTAGTAACACTGCCAAGTGCCAATTCCGTTATCTCGTTATATGTATTATCTATGCGTACGAAAGGGTACCAGCTGTTTGATAAGACTTTGAGATAAATGATAATATGATTATTGTTTATTATTTTCATGCATTTATGGTTATTTTATTTCATGTTTATTATTAAAGTAACGTACAATAATGTGTATTGCATATTTATTATTCGATATTCGCTATTTCGCAACTATAGAATAGTCGATATCGAGCTGTGGGACCTATTTTTAGTTCTCCTCTACTCTCAACTCTCAGCATATGTTATTGTTGATGAAGTACGTATAGACCATGTATGATGATTGATGACGAAATGACGAGTTATTAAAATTGTTCCACAACACTAGCGTAACCCACGCACTTAATAAAATGATAAAACGCCTCCAAACATAGGAAGGACATTCTTTTATACAATAACTATTTGTTGTTTAATTAAGTAGGTCATCTGAGTCATCAAATCATAACATTTTATATCATGAATGCACTTTCTTAAATATTATGAATAAATAAAATATTCATATTAAGCTAGGGTATAATATATATTTTTATATTATGCTCTATTATGGTATAAAGTTATTATTTATATTAAATTAATAGGAAATAAATTATGAAATAATATGCATATAAAAGTTATGTCCCGTAACCTCAACTTAACAGCCAGAACTTATTATTGGTTATTGTATTAAAATATATAATATTTTCTTATTTATATATTACAAAATAAATAGCAAAATTGAATGACTCTAATACACCGATAATTTAATAATGAGGGTAATACAGCTGGACTTCAGGCTTCAGCTCAATGGAACAATTTTATTTCCAATAAAAAAAATTTTTTCTATAAACCCCATCAATGGTACCAATGGTACTTTTTCTTCCTGATTTGATTTTAATAATGTTAAGATGTTTGAATTTATAAACAAGCAGTTAACTTTACATAGCATCTTTACGTCGCACAGCCGCACAGGTTTGAGCATAATTTACATACTTTTTCATTTGTTAATATACCTAATTACTTACTACTGCAAATTTACTTATTGATAACATTGCAAACGTCTTATACTCTTAAACAATTATTTGAAAAAATTTTAAAAAATGCTTCAGCCTATAAACTCCGGCCTCCAACCAATACAAACTAGATTACCTACCTAACTAATTTTAAATCGAATGAGTTGAAATTGGATGTACAAATATTTTTGTTAAACTATTGGCTATTTGTAGGCATAATGAATTTAATATGTTCCTACTATTTTGTTATTTTTTTTATTTACCTACACCTTATAAAAATCCGGAAATATGTTCATCTGTATAGCTACTTACTACTTTAGGTAGGTGTCGAGTATAACATGTCATTCGGTATACCGGTATACGTGTTGTAATGGATGTGTTAAATTTTAATTCAATAACAAATTGATTATTCATTATATACGGATGTTAGCGATTCTGTTAACCTAAATTAGGCACTTAGAAAAAATCCTTAATTTTAATTTTTGCTTTTGCTTATTCCAATATTTTAAACTTATGAAAAACCTTGTATTACAATTTACGTTTTAATGCTTATTGACATGGATTTTAATTTTTAATGTTTTAATTATGAATAAATAATAAATAATAATACTAATTATTATATTATTTTTTAAATAACAGGCATACATTTGTATTTACCTTAATACACAAATAATATAGGTAACAAGATGTATTATATATTCTTTGATATTTACATAAAATATGTTTGTTCGATAAATACATTCTTTTTTTATTATCGTTATATTATGTAACACCATTGATTAGGTATAAATACTAGTATTATTTATGATATAATATTAATGCCAGGTAAATATTCTATTTGTTAGCTACTAACTAGTTACCTACATTTTATTATTTATCGTTTAAATTTTAATTACGAAAAATTATACATATTAATTGTTAACTTAAAATGTATTGTGTTTGTGTACCTATAATAATATACTAATTCACCAATAATGACGCGATGTTAATTTCGTTTATTTTAAAAAATTGTATCATACTATAAACAGCATAATTGTTATGGTATTAATGTATAATGCTAAGTAGGACAAGTAGGTATATTTAAAATAAATAGGTAGGTATTATAATTATAATAAGCCGCGTTCGCGCTTAAGTCTGTGGACTAAAATAAGAAAAATAATGTATGAAGTATTGTATTTAAAAAAATTTCAGTCAAAAGCTTTGGAAAGTTATAGAAATCAAACTTTTGAGGATTTTTGATTCCTTAAAAATAACTGATGGACAGCATATTCCAGTGTCTACCATATAATAGAATAATGATACTGCTATAAGCACAGATTTTATAAAATGATAACCTATACATAAAAATTCCGTATACTCTGTGCTATTAATTAGAATATTATTAACTATACAGGGAAAAAGCAATGGCCCAATGGGTTGTTGCAATGAAGTTTTAACCATATAGGTATACATTTATTCAGGTCCTTTATTTTTATCAAGCTACACCGAATTAAGAAATTAATTTAGCAATAAATAGTAATATAAATATACTATCATTTAAATTACCTAGAAACTATTCTTAAAATATCAATCTCCTATTCACAGATTATTTTTTCGTATTCAATGATTTATTCGACTACACACAGCACACGATAATGTCGTACATACGATTTTTATACCTTGGTTTTTCACATTAGATTGATTTTACCGTTTCGGTACACAATAGATACAAATTGACAATTATTGTGTATGTGACGTCTAGAAATACCGCATATTCCGTCCTCTGGTACAATGTTTGAGACCGTGCCTGAAATATACCACAGTACTCTATAACAGTGTTCAAAGTGCCCATTTAATCCTAAGTGCATGACTTTTTACTGCCACTTAGAAAAAATGTACCATTTTTACGGGAAAATGTCTATAGTTTTAATGGAAAACAGGCATGATTTCGAGTCTGTGAAGTGTATTCATAAAAATGTGAATAATTCTTTATTTAAATCATAAAAATTGTTCTCAATTAATAACTATTATTATGCCAAGTGGCAAGTACCTATAATGTAATTTATTACGTTTTTACTTGAAATAATGATATTTTATTTACCATTTATGTAAAACGAATATAATACTTAGGTATATGTAAAACATTGTTAAATTAAAGACCAATACTTCTTATTAAATAAAAAATGTATGTAATACATTTTTACTTAAATTCGTGTACACACCTTCACAGTTTGCATAGCATCCATTCAAGGCCGTAGCCAGGGGGGGTTTAGGGTTCAGACCCCCCCCCCCCCGAATTTTTTTTTTGAAATAATATTGAATAGTTTTAAATGCCTGTTATATTTGATACGTGTCACTGTGATTATAACACATAAAAAAATAAAACGGTTTAACGGTATATTTTATATTTATATTGTGTTAGATAAGCGATAACTAATCTTAATGTACTTTTGTAAAACCTAATGTATAGCTCACATAATACCTACAGTATCTAATCTTAATTAAGATTACCTCCCCCCCCCCGAAATATTTTTCTGGCTACGGCCTTGCATCCATTTAATCCCAAGTGCATTGCTTTTAAGTTTTTAACAGTAAAGAATATCGGCGAGTGTTATGTGTAGCGTCCACCGGTCCAGTAAATATAATATATCTTATCAGAATAGGGCCGCGAATTTAATGCATTTACATGTTTTTTTTGCTACAATGTATAATAAAATGTATTCGTCCAACATTTGTTTTGACTTATTTATTGTTAAAATACCAAATCTTATTTAGCATATTTTTGCATATTTCATGGGTTAGGGCATACAATTGCATGTTTTAATAATTTTTTTGTATAAATGCTTTTTTTTGTAATATTTACATTTTTTTAGTTAACCTATTCCAAATTGACATTAAAATATTGAATGTATTTATATAAACTATGACTTGTATAGTTTAATGGAAACTATTTTATTTTTACTCAGGTATTTAACGTGTATTATTGACTGAAATTGCATAAGATATTTCAACAAAGTTTAGTAAATTAACAAGTACAGCTGGAACTGTTATTTATAACAAATAACAAACAGTTCTCAAAAAAACAAAGAATTTCAATATATGTGTAATATTTAAAAAATATTAACTGGTGAAAAAGTGAACATAGGTTTGGATATACCAGAAAATTTAAACAGTAGCGATATGAGTGATATGACGTATTTCAAGTTAGCCCCAATAACTATGTCAGGCGTCTCCTTTTCTTTATATAAAACTATGTTGGCACCAAACAATAGGTCTTTCACGTTTGAAATCTAAAGAAATCATTGATTGTGGTCTTTCTCAAAGTTTACGATAGCGTCCCCCTGTAGGCTTCGGTAGCCTCCAGGGGGGGGGGAGGTTTAAAGCCCGGAGAAATTTTAATTAGTCATATAGTGTAATAATATAATGTAGTGCCATCTCTTGGATGTGACAAAATAAACATTTTCAAAAATTCTATCCTTTTTATAAAATGTTTCCTTGGAACTCTCTACACTATAAAGTACATATATAAAAAATAATATTTTATAGAATTTTAAAAATGCCTATATATAGGGGGATTTGACTCACAAATCCCTCTTGAATACATCCCCGAGTCTACAGATGGTAAGTTTAAAACATTTTGGGGAGGGGGGGGGGCTTTAGAAACTTATTGATTCTCAGTGAGCGATGGATACTGGATGGAATAGGTTTGAGAACCTGTGATATACACTATACACATTTTCTCAGTTTTCAATGATTATTGTGTTCTTGAAAATCCTGGTTATAACAGAAATGTATACCTACAGTGAAATTTCCATACTGCGAAGACTGATGGGGAAAAAAATAGAGGAATTCGTTAAATAGAATCAAATGAATTTGGTTCTCAAAAATATTTAAAAAAAATATTTACAGTACATCTTTTGTTAAAAGGAATTCGTTATAATGTTGTAATACCTATTATATTAATATTATTTATTTTCGAACCATGTTTATAC